CCGGGTTCAATCCCTGGTCCCCCTGCCCCAAGCGGGAAAAAACAGACTGAAAGCTCACTGAAGAATCATATCTTGCTGAGTACCATGAAAATTTATACTTGGTAGAATATAATATGAATAAAATTGGAATGACAGCTGCTGAAATTGCACATTTTTTATTTCATAACTGACCAAAAGACAGAAATCATCTTGCCAAAAATTTTCAGCTTCAGAATTTGTCATGGGAATTTTTTGCTTCCTAGAAATAATGACCAGATAGTAGAAAAAAATCATAATAATCAAAGAAAAGAAAACATTGTTATAATGTTTATGGAGGAAAAATCATTGTTGGAAATTCCTGTGTCACTTACCATTGCTTACAGAAGTTTCAATGTTACTATTAAAATGGCTCATTGTATTTCATACCTCCAAGGAATCAGGGTAGAATGGATCAAGCCTGAGAAAGAAATATTGTTGAACTTAATGATCAATAATTAGCATATTTGCTATTTTAAAAATTGACAAATCAACTATTTGCTATAAAAAACATTCAGAAAAGAATTGATGGAAATAACTTTAGCAAATAAAAGTAAAAATAGAAAAAGGTAGAAATGATGTAACTGTTTTGTATAACTGATTGAGAAATACAATTGGCTTAGTGAATGTAGAAAATCCAAAACAAAATGATTTTGATGAATTCATCAGAGTTGAATTAATTTGCTTAAGATCTTTATATTCATAAACATAGAGTCAAAATATTCAAAAAGTAATCTTTAGATTAAAATGACAGTGTCAAAACATCTGGGTCAAAACATCCTAACTGTTTTGCACATGGCTTGAGTCATAAATTCAGTATTTATTCGTTCATATTCCTTGAATACAAATTAATTGCTTTCTTCTATAATGATTTCAGACAAGTAACCTTCAGGTCACTCTGGAAGATGGCCACATTGAATTGAGCACCAGGGACAGCAACGGCCCAATTTTTAAATCTCCAGAGACATATATGGATGGCTTACTGCATTATGTATCTGTAATAAGTGACCGAGCAGGGTGAGTGGGATGATATTTCTGCTAAAAGTGCTGAGAGTTCTACTTTATTTAGTTTAATTAAATTTTCTGGTGCCTTTTTGCAAAATATTTATTCTTAATACAAATGTGATTTGACTAATAAGTCTTGGCCTCCTTCCTTGTTCCATATTAATTTCCTCATTCACAAAATAGATCAATGGTCAGATAGATAAATTAACTGTGGCACATTTAAAATGAAATACTATACAGCAATAAAAAGAAAGATCTAGAACTATATCTAATGACATGAATGAACCTAATGTTGAGCAAAAGAAGTCACACATCAAAGAGTTCATCCCCTGTGATTTTATTTACATGAAGTCCAAAAAATAGGCCAAATTAATTTATCATGTCAAAATTCAGGATACTGATTATTCTTGGAGAAGGAGGGAAGCTGGAGAGAAAAAAA